TCAATCCAATGTGGGGAAATGTAAACCATGTTAATGTGGCAACCCTATTAATTTGGTACATGTAATCCAAGTTTTTACATCCACATATTCTACCTTCTTGGGCCAAAACTGTCTTTTAGGAACTGATGAGAGGGTAGTTGCCCATTTACAAAGGGTCCCTTAAGCTCCTCTTCAAAGGTCCAGAAAATACAGTATGAATAACTTTTACGTAACAGTCCTTTCACCGAGTCTGCACCACACCCAGTATATCAATGGTAAGCCTTTATGTCAATATCGATTCCTTCATGGAGAGGACAGTAACCAGCTTGGAAGGCGGGCCAAGAAGAATGTTGACTGGCGGACGGGTTGGAGGGGAAAATACCCAAGTAAAGCTGTAAAATGCAGAAAAATGTTTTAAATGCTGTTTTTTGGTGAGTGACAAGAAGTAGAATCAAGTGGAGGATGACGGCAATAGGAGAATGTCTTCAATAACGCCATTCTTCATTCTATTCTGTTGGCTTGGATTTTCTCTTCCAGTTGTCCTATGTAATGCCACAGGTGGGTAACATTGTAGTAAAGGAATGTTTTGTTTTGTGACATCTTTGTTCCGTTTATATATTATAGATTATTTGTCGTTGTTGAGATTACGGTAGGCTAATATCATGAGAGACTGGATGATGTGGCTTGATGCATTTATTATAAGTAATGAAAACAACTGATTCCAAGAAGCTCATAATAAATAGAGTGCCTTTACTGTCCTCCATAATACAAGACGGATTGAACAAGCCACCGAATAAAGGTAGGGCCAACAGGGGCCATACCCACTCCCCGAAAAAGGAGCCTTCTTTTGGGAATAAAGAAAGAAAGGCATTTTTGTTCAGGCTTTACTCACCTGGAAAGCCAAATATCAGAGGTGATTTGAAAACTATTCAAAATACGAGTACTGTTGTACAGGTCTCCAAGTGAAGGGGCAATTTACTCTGATAAAGCACTATGTCCTACCTTTCGCTGCAGAAACTCGCTATTTTCAGCCTCTCTCCCCGATCAAATCTGATCCTTTCAAACTTGACCGGTCTTCCAAAGCGGCAAACAACTTCCCTACCTTTGTGCCTAACAGGTCCCTGCAAGTTCATTGGAACCTAAGTCAGCCAGGTGGTCACAATCTATTCACACAAGTGGCGAACTATTACTTTTTCATGGTAACTTGTCTCATGACTGGACCAAAGTCTAGACTGTATTGTCATTCTATAAAGTAGGGGTCCAAAAGTGTGACCATTTGTGTCCATTTTACTCCTGACGTGTGTCATTTGACATGGAAATATTACTGAACTTCAAATTATTTTTATTCGTTCGGCAGGTAATCTGAATTAATTCATTACTCTTTGAATAAGAAAATACGTTCTGAACTTCCCAAATCATATGGGTGTGACAGGGAGATGAAGAAATGGACTGCTAATTCATAGAATGGCCCAAGTACTTGAAAGAACTCGAGATTGACTCGTCGTGACTTGTCTAGAACCGTGTTTTCCAATCGACCCCCATTTTCGTATTTTTATCTTTCAATTTAAAATGGTCCTCAAAATGAAATCTACATATATAGCTCCTTGAGTTCCACAACTTTGAAAACCCTTGCTCCAGCGCATATCCAAATTTTCCATCGTGCATGCCGTGTCCTACCATGGAGGACCTTTCTCCATGGTTCTACAGCGCGTTGTAATTACAATGTATCGAGAGAGGGCGCTGTATAAGTAAAAAAGGCACGTGCGAGCGTGCGGAGGGTACATTTCACCTCTGCTGGTCAAGAGTTTCAGTGTAAATTAATTTCGCAATGTTCAAGCGAAAGAATGAGTTTGTTGTCACTAGTAGGCTTGTGCCATGAAGGTATGCTCATACCATTTGGACTAAAAGCTCCTGGTTTGATTACGGAGAACTTGTTCTTTGGGTTGATGAAGCTGACCTATACCGGTCTGTACGTCTACCGCCTAAAAAAATGTTGGTTGACAATAGCACTGGCAGTTGGCGATGCACTTTTTGAGCCCCCCCAAACAATTCAGATCCACACTTCTGAAACTTTATGATCTCATATGCTTATTGTTTATTTTTTTCTTTTTCTCATCATAGCGTAAGTTGTGATAAGTATTATTCTCGACATCCATCATGGCTTATTACTGGCACTGACCATGGAGCTAGCTCCATGCTGTGACTGTGAAACCACGTCACATTTAAGCAGCTCAGTATGTTCAGCCACACTTTAGGCCTACAGGTGCGTAGAGGGAGTGGCCTCTTTTGGAGAGGCCACTTGAGCTAATTAACGTGTAAAAAATTTTTTTCGTCCAAATGCAACGACTATTTATCATATCCTACCCCTGTACACGCTAAAAAAGCTGGTTTAGTCACTTTACAGCCAGGGCCCCCCCTTAGCCAGAAAAAAATAAAAAAATCCAGCCAGCCTCCAGCCAACTCCCATAAGACTGTGTGCTAAGTGGCCCCTTATGTATAATCTAATAGATTATTTACAAAACAGTGCCTGGGGCAGACAGTGGAATGTTTCTTATCAGTGACAGCTGTCTTGAACTTTTCAGAGGCCTCTTTGGGCTGTCTTTGAAGTGTTATTTTGGCTGGGGGGGTGTTGTGATGGTGGTGTGGCTTGGCTGGTGTGTGGCGAGCCCCACCCCTCAAATCGGGATAGCCTGGGAAAACGGCCCTCCCATGGTACTGTGATGTACTTTTGGTGGTTTTTAAGAGCGGTAGAGACTAGGGGACAACCACTGAGGCATTTATGTACCTTTAGGATGGACTTGGGGCTCTGCAACCCTGAGAAATGATAGGGACTCATCTGGCGAGTCCGCTCCCGCAACCACATAAAAAAAAATCATTCCGCGTCCCTTTAACCAAAATGTGACAGAAAGGACCCTGAAATAGAGTGTTATTTTTGCGACCAAATGCAGTTAATTTTAATCACTAAATTAAAGTTCTAAGTACACGTAAAATTGCAGTAGTCTTTTCTCCAGCTAAGCAATAAAACTGTGAAACGATTTGAGCCTAAATGAACAAAGCATTATACCCACTTCTGCACACCACTATTTTCCCTGCAGTGACCTTTTAGGCCTCTGAAAGCAATAAATATTCTAAAAAGTGAAATTGGGGATTGAAAATATTGAAATAGGCCTGTAGGCCTATTCACTTCCATTGACAGGTCTCAGGGAGGTCTCAGGCAGGTCTCAGGGTTAAACATTTTCATAAAAGGGCTATTGCTTTGCTATGATGGAACTATTGGCAAATAATGCATTAGGATTGACAGATTGTGTAATGATTCGAATGTTGTGCTTATTCACCAATGGTACTCAATAAGAATTCCACACATATACGGATGGTACTTGACACCCTCTGCACAAATGTTCCACTTGGGGAAACTCACCCAAATGATCCTCTTGTAACCAATCAAAACGAGTTTTACACGTGTATCAAAAGGGACTACTTACAAATCCAGTATCCCCTTCTCCATTATGTTCAGCTTTGGGTTCAAAATGTATCAATATAGACAGATTTTGCCTTTTAATCTACATTCGTACATGGACAATAAGAGAAAAATAATTACTATATACCAGGAGCCGAACAGCCTTGTGAAGAAACTGGGTTCTCTCTCTGGCTGCTTTCAGCTCTCAAACATCTTTTGAAAAAAATTGGCCATTTAGTGTCACCAATTTTTATAATGGAACTTCCAAGACTTTTTACTTTCCAAGGTTAGCCAAAATGCAACTCTAATTTTAAGATGAAAAATCAAAGTGGGCCAACTTCACTGTCACCCACCACATTTTTGTTTCTCAACCATCGTACATGCAGAAGAAAATAAAATCCACTCTTTGATCTATTTTTCTTGCTGACTAAGGTTTAATTGCTTCATTTTTGGTTTGCCTTATCCTGGGATATGGCAAAACCCAGTTTTACAAATACTTCCTTTCTTTGAAATGTTTTAATATTCAATTTTTCTTTTAGCATCAAACGTATAATGCTAATCCAGCTACTTGGTTTTGGCCTTCACCTGCGGAAGTTATTTTTACTAATATCTTTGTTTATGATGCCTGCTCATGCAAACAACCTCTTGAAAATGTAATAGTTTTTTTATCCAACTTATTTCTCTTCTTGGTAAGTTAAGAGAATGTGCATTTTTGTAACAAGTATTTTAAATGGCCACAATAGAATGAAGTCAGGAAACACAATAATGGTACTTAATTATGTTACAATTTGTGTTTTTTTATACACAGATGAAATTACTACAGAAGCCAGTACTTCACAAGAGATTACCTCTTCAAGAAACCAAACAACACATTTACAAGCCACAACGGGAGCTTCAACACTGCAGGTAACAACAGTACCTGCCACAACAGTGGCACAGTACACAACTGATTCAAATCCTGCAGCAACAGGTTCGGTATATAGCACAAGTGGCACCTTACACACAACTCAAAGCAATAAAATAACTACAGTAGATGGAACAAACACTGCTGCCAGGACAAATGGCGATTTAACCAAAACAACAGAGATCACATCAAGTATCACCACTGCTACTGTTGAGAAATCGGGAGTTTTAGAGACGACTATTGCTGATGTGACTATTACGGGCATACTAACAACCACAGCCCAACAGACCACTGCAGCTGCAGATACAACAACTGTAGTGGAGACAACTGTGGCTGATTTTTTCACTACAGAGAAACAGACAACCAAAGCTGAACCAACTATTGCAGCTGCTGGGACAACAGGGGT